GAAATTATCGGAATACTGCAGAGCCTTGTGGGTTGGATCGGGCAAATTTCTTTGTGACACGACCAAATCCTCCCCCCACCGGCGATAAATGATGACTGCCTATTCATTAAGTTTTTTTTAATTATCTTCATCAATGACAGTTCTACTTGGTTGATTTTTCTCATCAAGCAAATCCAACATCAACAAAGTAGGATGGCAGAGGACAATGAAACCCTTCCCCCGACGAATCAGGAAGAAAAATTCAATGGACTTTTTCCACTTGTGATAGCTATAATTTCCATTATAACTATAGTAGGGAACCTTCTGGTGATTGTGACTTTGTATAAGAAACCGCGCACTGAATTACGGATCGTTTCCAGCAGCCTTGTGTTGAACCTTGCTATCGCTGACCTGATGATGGGCCTTGTAGGTGAACCTCTTTGGATAAGCCTGCATTGGGTAGATGGTGGAGTAAGCATGATGTTAATGAGCGACTCACCAAGTACGTTGTATGTCACAACTAGATCAGTGTTGGTCATAACAGCTACCGCTTCAAGATGCACTTTGTTCTTTCTTACAGTGGATAGATATGTGGCCTTAGAGATGCCTCTACGAAGAGAAAAGCTGTTTGGTGGAATGGCTTTGAAATTATACATTTTTCTTATTTGGCTTGATGGATCAGTTACCGCCCTACTCATTTCCTTTCATGACACAAATGCAATACGGCTAATTTTCTATATCCTTCCTCAGTTTGAACTGGTTGTCATCTTCGTTTTGTATGTGCGCATGTTCATAATCATCCGAAAATTCAACAAGATTCTACTCGCCAATGAAGTCCGACAACCGCTTGTTCAATCAGGAGATGCGTTTAAATTGGCTCGAAAACGGGAGTTTTCCTTTGCAAAGAACATTTTTCTTCTAGTTGGAACATTTTTATTGTGCTATCTACCATTTTCTGTCACTCGCGTTGTTGAATACTTCAGCGACGGAGTGCGAACTTCACTTTTTTTTCAAGAATTGTTACTAATCCTATACGTATCAAAATGCGCTCTAGATCCCATATTATACACATTTATTATTCCAGGTTATCGATGGCGAGTTAAAGAGATGGTCTATAACTTTGCAAAGACCTGCGCCGACCGATTACCATCAGCTAGTAATGGCGCAGGAAACCCCTAAATAACGCTTTATCATCACTAAACGTCTGGTTTTAAGTTATTAACGTTCTGACATACCATAGCCTTAGTTGTTGAATGAAATGTGTTATGGATAACGACTGTAAAAATAAGTTTCTGGAAATTTCTAGAAAGCCTATTCATGTTGACATGTTACACGACTGCCCATTGTCATACTATGGAAACATATTGTATTCGGTTATATGTAGTTATGATGCAACACCACAAAAATAGTTGAGTTGTATGCTTCCGGATTGTTCGAGAACACTTTGTAAATGTATATAATTTATGAACTCAGTCGTGTAGTAGTTGTTGCTGTTTTAATCGAAAGTGACGTACCGACTATCTGTGAAGCTATGCTGAGAGAGAGCTACTGTGGAAGATTGCTCATTTCAAGGCGATTGGATACAACTGGGATATATTGTCAGTAGTGAGCTAAGTTAAAATCTCTTGGGGGCTTTAGAGTGTATTTCTGAGGATCGATTTTTTTGTATTTTGCCATAAAATTCCCTTGTACTTAAGGAAATATAGTGAAAGGTTCCATCGACCTATTTTACGGGAGAAATTTTCAAGAGTTTGAAAATTCAGTTTTAATGCAATTAAATACGTAAATGTTTGTGTTTCTTACGGTGGTCTCCGGAAACATAAAACTATCTTACGAAACCGTGGAAGCATCAGTGTGAAAAGTTTTGGTAAGCTGAATATCGATATTGACGTCGGCAAACCTTCAGCAGTTGGAAGACACACAACAGAATTTTCCGCGTTGAAGGCTTTGGAAATATAGTGAGTCCGACAAAAGACAAACGTAGAAGGTAACCCGATAACAATTAGTCGTTCAGGCTAAACGATTAATTGTTACCACTACGCCTGAAAATTCTTTTGAGTGCGCGTCGAAACTTCGCCGTACGCAGAGCGTAAGCGATAGGATTGGCCAGCGGATGCACAAATATCAAGCTTTCGAATATTAAGTCAAGTTTTTTAGGAATACAATCGTCGTGATCACAACACTGTCTGATGTTTTCCACAATGAAAAGCGGACTCCAACATACGGTAACCAAGCCAGTAAGGATGAATACAGAGAGAGCTACGCCTCTTTCCCTCCTTTTAAGTCTTTCCATTCTTTGACTTTTTGGTGTTAAGGGTTGGAGCTCTCTTCTTTGATCGCCTGTTGCAAAATATCGATGCAGCTGTTTTCTGATCAGCAGAAAGATCCGTGTGTAGCAAGCAATTAACAGGATCAATACAGGAACTCCGATAGCATCAGCGATAAAAAGCCTATAACTGTCAAATGAGTCCCATCCGAGCATAGGAAGAGAGGCTGTTAGCGCAGCGAAAAGCCAGATGGACATAATGCCTACAGTGCAATAACTCGTCGTTGTCGAGTTATCGTCACTCTTAGCGGATGATATGACAATAAGTCTTTCAACAGCGAGGCCCAGGATTGTAAGAAATGAGGCACAAATAGCAAAATACATCGTGATGTACCCTGCTTTGATGACACTCTTATTACCAGGAAACCAGTGAAGAATAGCAAAGAGTAACTCGGTTGGAAAACCCATAAGTAGATCACAAACAGCCAGATTTAATATGAGATAGTTTGCTGTTCCTTTAAGCTGCTTGAATGGATCTTTCCAGATTGTCATTATCACTAGAGAATTCAAAGCCATGGTCAACACCGAGACGGAAACGAGGAATGCTGTCTGAGCCAGAGTCACTGGGTCTATTGAGGAAAAATATATTATTCATTAGCTTGAAGACAGAGTAGAAAAAACAGTCAGCGCTGTCGACTGTGGTCAGAGACATTCCTGTCTTACCAACCCTTCTCGTTCCGTTCTTGTGCAGTTTGACACATGACTGCCCCAGTGCATCTTTACACTTTGAAAGTGGGCACGGATTAACTATCAGTGAGACCAAGGGGGGAGACTTAGGGGTTACACAGCAGCATCTTTTTTTTTTATGGAAACTGGGTTAATGATGCCCTCCCTCCCCCCCGAATGTGATGGGCCACTTAGATTCGTGCGAAAGATTATTTCTAATTACGTTTGAAAATGAAGACTAGTCAGCCGTAAGATTAGTGCTTCCATGTATATTTAACAGTTGTTCGGAAAGGTCTTGAATAAAAACAGAAACAATCAAACAAACAAAGATGCATTGTACTGGTTGATTATTCAGGAAGCAATATTTTGTGCACTAGGGAATTGGTCACTTGTCTCTACTCGGAACTCTCGTCGGCTCGGTGATATTTTTGATCGGTTGTCGATGCTATTTACAATACCCAAGGAAACAGAGTTCAGTAACAGAGTATTGCATAGAAAAATGACTGACAATTAGCGGCAAATGAAGGTGGGGGGAGGGGAGGGGGGGGAGAGGATCATATGAGAGGATCATATGAGCATCATAGAGCCTCATAGGGGATCTGGTAAATTTTGTAATGACAAAATTAAAATCCTCCGACCTCGCCCCCCCCTCCCCAGGCAATAAATAATGAACGGTACCTGGCTAACGAATTTATAAACTGGTAAGTGATACCAGTCTGTTGAAGCCAAATAATTTAAGCTTTAAAAACCAAGAAGAACCAAATATATAAATGAAAGAATTAAGCGGGAACAAATATAGTGATCTGCGTTGTAAACGCTCAACGACATCGCCTGTTCAAAACGAGTCTCCCATGCGTGACTCCTCCTTTGCGTTCGACGGCCTTCATCGCTCTCACTTCCTTAAATCACTAAACGCGCGAGTCTTAATCGCGCACGTTCGGTCATATTAAGCTGTGTAGCTTCGAAAAAAAGATAGATTTAAGAACAGAAATTCATGAAGCAGATTTTTGTTTGCTCTACACAGACGGATAGCGTTTTGGTGGTAGTCTAAATTTATTTGCGAACATGGTCTTTTAAGACTAAAGGAAATACTCAAGTTGGATTTGTTCCTTGTGTGACATTGCGCACGTGTTTAGCTGACCAGAAGTGATGATATTAAGCAAAAAAACAAGTTTCGGTTTCATCAGAAGCGCCATCGCTTTGACATGTCGGTGCGTCTTGCGACGATAAGCATCCTTCTTAGATTGCACTCTAAATAAATTATTTTTATTGAGAGAAAAAATTAAGGGAGAAAATTGATTGTTTGGTTAAATTTTGTATCACTGAGGTCAACTTGAGAATCTAGCTTCTGCTCTTTATATCAGCACTCTTTGCTTCTAATTCATGATTTCGACACTTCCTAAGCTTGGGCTATGATTTCTTTGTTACCTAAGGGATTGGCTCTCCGTTTGGATCGATTCACAAGAACAACAACATTAACCATTGCCAAAACGAAATCAGCTACATAGCATACACTTCAATTACAAAAGTATTATAGAAGAATTTCTAAATTTAACGTCCAGCCATAGCAAGATATTACCGTAAAGACCGTGGCCTGGAGCCCGTTTCTCGAAGGTCCAAGTAAATTAACGGACCCGTAAAGCTCTCCTGTTTCTACTTAAGAAGGGGATTTAGAACGTTTTGACAATTATAACATAAATGTAAGCAAATATGCAATTTCCGAGGTAGATTTCTCATATTCTACAGGAATACGGCATTCAAGTTAACCGAATATGAATGATCCATTCAATATTTACCTCCAAAATCCATCACGACCTTAGGTGCCTTATCTCCTGAAACTCTTTCGTGTCAAGAAATGATTTTCATAATTTGGAAGAAGGTGACGATGCTGAATACTTTGTCTTTTCCATTGGCTGTCAGGTTAAGCCTTCATCCATCGTTCGAGTTGCTCTGTTTAACTGGAACCTGCGCGTTCGAATCACCTCACGCCTCTTAGAATGTCACGCGCTCCGCATGCGAGCGGAAGTACCTTGGTTTGAATTCGCGATCGGTAGCGCCGAAAAATCAAAATATTTTTGTTTGGTTAACGAAGCTATTTAACAAATTGTCCACTCTGGAACAG